GCCATGCCCGGGGAATCCTTCCCCACATTCATCATGTCAGTAATGGGGCTGCTGGATGCGTCCTCTAAGCTGGGCCCTGCTTCACCCGTCTGCTGGCAGGGCCCAGCGGGCCAAGGGGGCCAGGGGGGACCTCAGCCCCAGCGGGGGCAGTGGGGCGCAACAGGACGGAGGCAAGGCACTCACACACACACACCGAGGCCCCAACAGCGGCACCCGACGGACGGTGCGCCATCCAAGGGGAGACTGTTGGTGTTGTCACGTAATGTGGTGCACAGTGAAAGAGAAAAAAAGTCTACTCGCACAACTGACTACAAAGAGTTGGGGGTGTCCAGAGTCACACTTAACATGCTACCTTTGTACGGAAACTGGGATTGATAGATATTCACAGAAAACTAGGGTTCGTAGATTCAATACTCACAGAAAATAGTTAGTATACGATTGAGCCACGCACTGGTTTGATGCAAGCTACGATCATTGGTTGGTTAAGCTTCGTAAGCAGATATAGCATTCACAGTTTTGAATTATAACCAGATAGAAACAGAATGTAAAAACGGCACTAATATTACAAAATGGGGCGATTAGATTTCAAAGATCTACTGGCTATTCAACTTAAAATTTCTACCGTAAAAACTTCCACGAGCAGAACCTGAGTGATTCAAAATGTTTCAAAATACGACGTGTTCTAATTTGAACTAGTAATAAAATCATACTAGTTGCAAAATCATACCAAAGTCGTGTTTCGACGTCGAATGAGCTACCCCATAAGAACGGTGCACGGGGCATACCAGACCATGACCTAACCTACATGGACCTCGACAAAACTTGTGAACATGACAACGCATCCCAAGTATTGTCGACGTACTTCCAGGCGGCGATGAACTTACTTTCTGCTGAAATCCACTCGAGTTGAACAGTTGCCAGTCGAAAACTTGTCCCAGCTGCCTGGAGACGTTGACCGTGCAGTTGAATGGCGTAAGTTGCTTTCGCAACCCACCTCACTGCTCACTTGGCGCAACGCTCTCAATCAAAGATAGTCACTGGAGATTCAATCAGAAAGACAG